CACTCACTCACTACCTCTGATCTACTCCCTCCCTCCCTCCCTCCCTCCCTCACTCACTCACTACCTCTGATCTACTCCCTCCATCCCTCTCTCCCTCCCTCCCTCTCTCCCTCACTCACTCACTACCTCTGATCTACTCCCTGCCTCCCTCCCTCCCTCCCTCCCTCCCTCACTCACTACCTCTGATCTACTCCCTGCCTCCCTCCATCCCTCTCTCCCTCCCTCCCTCTCTCCCTCACTCACTCACTACCTCTGATCTACTCCCTCCCTCCCTCCCTCCCTCCCTCACTCACTCACTACCTCTGATCTACTCCCTCCCTCCCTCCCTCCCTCCCTCCCTCACTCACTCACTACCTCTGATCTACTCCCTGCCTCCCTCCATCCCTCCCTCCCTCCCTCCCTCTCTCCCTCACTCACTCACTACCTCTGATCTACTCCCTCCCTCCCTCCCTCCCTCTCTCCCTCACTCACTCACTACCTCTGATCTACTCCCTCCCTCCCTCACTCACTCACTACCTCTGATCTACTCCCTCCCTCCCTCACTCACTCACTACCTCTGATCTACTCCCTGCCTCCCCTCCTCCCCTCCCTCCCTCCCTCCCTCACTCACTCACTCACTCACTACCTCTGATCTACTCCCTCCCTCCCTCACTCACTCACTCACTACCTCTGATCTACTCCCTGCCTCCCCTCCTCCCCTCCCTCCCTCCCTCCCTCACTCACTCACTCACTCACTACCTCTGATCTACTCCCTCCCTCCCTCCCTCCCTCCCTCACTCACTCACTCCCTCACTCATACAGCTACTGTCTCCTCAGTACTGTACCTATGCTTGTTGTTTACAGCAATGCCGCAACACATCTACTGCCATTTATATAGCATCACTTTACTTGTACTGTCATTGAACAGAAGGTGACAAACTGGGATTTTTCTGACATACTTGGAGCGGTCCGGTAGACTAGTTAAAGCGTTTGCTCGTCACGCCGAAGACCCGGGTTCGATTTCCCTACATGGGTGGGTGGGAGGGAGCCGAAAAGTAGAGAATTGCTGGAAAAGCTGGATAGAGAATCTTTAGGCAGAACGTAACGGACGATGGTGATGATGAGAAAGAAAGTTTGATGACATCATAGGAAGTAGGAATATGACGTAAGTGGCAGGAGATTGGAAGAGGAAATAATATATTGGAGGTAAACAAAGAGGTGCATTATGGTTTAAAAAAAAACCATTTAGTGAGACGCAAGGTAAACAAAGAGGTGCATTATGGTTTAAAAAAACTCATTTAGTGAGAAGCACTACATGAAATTAATTAATGAGTACCACCAATATTTTTAATATTAATTCTTGTACAATCTCTGAAGTCTTATATGTGCATGGGGCGGTGGGGTAGCCTAGTGGTTAAAGTGTTCGCTAGTCACGCCGAAGAACTGGGTTCTTCTCCCCACATGAGTACAATGTGTGAAGCCCATTTCTGGTGTTCCCCGCCGTGATATTGCTGTAATTTTGCTAAAAGTGGCGTAAAACTATACTCACTCACTTTTTTTTTAGACATCAACTTCTCATTCTTTTTAAATTCTAGAGAATAAAGTTTCCTTGAACAAGTTGTGTTCTGTTAAAAAGGGCTGTTGAGATTATTATCATATGTTAGTATCATGGCATCTCACATTTAAATTAATAACTAAATGAGAAAATACATTTGGTAGTGATCTTAACTGGGAAGGTATTTCTCTCAAGCCAATTTAAATGTACCGAGTATACAGACTTCAGTTTACACATTTTCGCAGGATCATTATCACAAAAAATTTCTTAAACAAAATTAAATATCTGATGACAGTTTGTGTACTTTTTGTAACTCTCATCTTGAAACTGTGACACGTGTATTTTGTTGGTGGTAAAAGATTTCAGGATTTTGTTCACTCAATTACTTGCACTCATAGCATGTCTCCGGATAATGAATTAAAGTTGCTTTGAGTGGAAAAAATTATATTATAGATGATGTATTTTGATCTGATTTTGCTGTTTTCAATGTTTATATGAGGGGCGTTCAATAAGTTTTGCAACTTCAATATAAGAGTGAGTGAGTGAGTTTGATTTTACGCCGCTTTTAGCAATATTCCAGCAATATCACGGCGGGGGACATCAGAAATGGGCTTCACACATTGTACCCATATCGGGAATCGAACCCGGGTCTTCGGCGTGACGAGCGAACGCTTTAACCACTAGGCTACCCGACCGCCCCTTCAATATAAGAACAAGTCGCAGAATAACTTTTGCACTTTTATTTTTCAATATAATCTCCATTCACATCAATACACTCATTCCATTTATCCATTAATCTGCGGATTGCTATAAAAGTGGTATTAAAAGCTTGAAGGACAAATGGAATAAGTGTATTGACGTGAATGGAGATTATATTGAAAAATAAAAGTGCAAAAGATATTCTGCGACTTGGTCTTATATTGAAGTTGCAAAACTTATTGAACGCCCCTCGTATATATGTAACGTTCTCAAAATAACAAAAAATCCAATTTTTCTTAGGGGGCTGCTTGAAAGATATAAATTAGAAGGAAAAAAATGCACTTCAACAGACGCCAAACACAAATATTTTCTTTGGCACATTTTTCTCAAAAGTCATGCACTTTTGCAAAAGGACCACTTTTTGTTATATTCCTGCCAAGCTTAAGAAGACCAACATACACAACTGGGGACACACTGAACTCAGCCCTTGGATCCAATTGCAGTTGACAAGAGTCTGAGCTTCATATGACATGGAAAGTTTGAAAAAAAATAATTCTATTGTCAATAAGCATGACTGACATGCAGGATTTAAAGTGACGCGCCGATGCCCAAGAAACAATTTCTTTCTTTTTTTCAAAGCCTAATGCTTCCAATGTGGTCTTCAACTTCATTTGTGATGTAAACTAAGTATATAAACTACCAATATTCCAGCAACTCGTCTAGAGCGAGTATTCACTGCAGGTGACCAATATTATATTTATGTAACTTTCAAGATAATCATGTCAATCTTGTCAGCTAGTATATATGTCTCTATTTTCTGTTATTTCAGGATTATTTGTCTGTTTGTCAACAGATTTGTCAGTTTGCAACAAAGTTCTTGTCCTATCTGCTTTGATACACCCAAACAACAAGATAGCTGTTGTCACTCACAGCCATGCATAGGGAAGGGGGCCGTCGGGTAGCCTAGTGGTTAAAGCGTTCGCTCGTCACGCCAAAGACCCGGGTTCGATTCCCAACATGTGTGAAGCCCATTTCTTGTGTCCCCTGTTGTGATATTGCTGGAATATTGCTAAATGCGGCGTAAAACCAAACTCACTCACTCACACACACATAGGTCAAGAAAATAGGCTAAAGCTTGGGAGCTCTAGACCCAGTTACTTAAAGCAATTCTAGTGCTATGACTGTTGCAAAGGACGACCATTTGATATTCTGGGGGCCCTGGGATTTTATAGAAAAAAATAAAATGTCCCCAAAATCCTTGCAATTTTTTATTATGCTTCAGGCTTTTGAAACCAAAAGAAATTGTTTTCTACAAAATTAACATTGTTGCAAGGTGTTTTTCTTAAAAATATATTTAGGCTCATAGTTTAATTTAATAAACACCTGGTTTTGCAGGTGTAGCTGAAAATATCAATAGTTACAAGAGTTACGATTGTCTTAGTACTATGTAAGTCTATTTCAAATTGTTGAGAGTTACAATCATCTTAGCACAGCTATTGTAAGTCCATGTCAAAGCGTAGAGAGTTACGATCATCTTAGCACTACAACTATTGTACGTCCATGTCAAAGCGTGGACAGTTATGATCATCTTAGCATTACAACTATTATAAGTCCATGTCAAAGTGTGGACAGTTACGATCATCTTAGCACTACAACTATTGTAAGTCCATGTCAAAGCGTAGAGAGCTACGATCATCTTTGCACTACAACTATTTTAAGTTCATGTCAAAGCATAGAGAGTTACGATCATCTTAGCACTACAACTATTGTACGTCCATGTCAAAGCGTGGACAGTTATGATCATCTTAGCATTACAACTATTGTAAGTCCATGTCAAAGTGTGGACAGTTACGATCATCTTAGCACTACAACTATTGTAAGTCCATGTCAAAGCGTAGAGAGCTACGATCATCTTTGCACTACAACTATTTTAAGTTCATGTCAAAGTATAGAGAGTTACGATCATCTTAGCACTACAACTATTGTACGTCCATGTCAAAGTGTGGAGAGTTACGATCATCTTAGCACTACAATTATTGTAGATCATTTCAATTGTCTTACGAATACTTTGTAATTTCTGGATTCTGATTTAATTCATGGTTTTCACCACACAAATTGTATTGTTAAATTATATTTGCCAGTTATGAATTCCATATGCAGAAATTATGAGGTTTTATCCAATAATCCATCTTACATTTGAATGTGTATTATGATATTTGACTCAACAATTGACCTTCAGCTGCAAGGTCATGGCAGATGTGATGAACATGCAATTTTGGCCCTTTGCCAGAACTTTATGCATGTTTCAATTTTTAATTTGTGAGGATGTAGAGGCCTTTGTTATTTTTTTTCTTTCATTTTCTTTACTTTTTTTAACATTGCATTTAAATAATGTTGAACTGGGCACTAAAGGCTCTTTATTCGTCCAGTTTTCAGTGAAATACAAGTCATCCCTACCAAGCCAGAATGTGAATGGGGACATTTTAAATTCCAATTTGAGAATTTCTTCTGACATTTGCTTTGCTCGCCTCTAGATAACATCATTCAGAGATGGCCTGATGCTCAAAGAAGAGGCTGGTTGAGTTAAGCAAGCAACCTTGGCTGTGTGTGATGACAGGGTGTGTGAGACAGCTCTGGTACACCATTACTGCCAGCAGTTAGAATGAGCCAACCTGGCAGTACAGGTGGCAGGCTAGTCTGTCATTTAGGGTAATTAGTATTGATTACAGCTAATGCTGAGAAACTAGACAGCACACCTGGCTTATCCTTATTGATGAATGGTAATCACCACCTGCTGTCGGGCCCTGTCTGCCTGATGGGCCTTCTGGGGACCCTTCTGACACTTGGGTGGTGTCTTGGTGGTACGGTGACTCTTCTGACACTTGGGTGGTGTCTTGGTGGTGCTGTGACCCTTCTGACACTTGGGTTCTGTCTTGGTGGTGCTGTGACCCTTCTGACACTTGGGTGGTGTCTTGGTGGTACAGTGACTCTTCTGACACTTGGGAGGTGTCTCGGTGGTAGGAAGACCCTTTTGATACTTGGGTTCTGTCTTGGTGGTACGGTGACCCTTCTGACACTTGGGTGGTGTCTTGGTGGTACTGTGACCCTTCTGAACCTCAGGTTGTGTCTCGGTGGTACTGTGACCCTTCTGACACTTGGGAGGTGTCTTGGTGGTAGGAAGACCCTTTTGACACTCAGGTTGTGTCTTGGTGGTACAGTGACCCTTCTGACACTTGGGTGGTGTCTTGGTGGTACTGTGACTCTTCTGATACTTGGGTGGTGTCTTGGTGGTGCTGTGACCCTTCTGACACTTGGGTTCTGTCTTGGTGGTGCTGTGACCCTTCTGACACTTGGGTGGTGTCTTGGTGGTACAGTGACTCTTCTGACACTTGGGAGGTGTCTCGGTGGTAGAAAGACCCTTTTGATACTTGGGTTCTGTCTTGGTGGTACGGTGACCCTTCTGACACTTGGGTGGTGTCTTGGTGGTACTGTGACCCTTCTGACACTTGGGTTCTGTCTTGGTGGTGCTGTGACCCTTCTGACACTTGGGTTCTGTCTTGGTGGTGCTGTGACCCTTCTGACACTTGGGTGGTGTCTTGGTGGTACAGTGACTCTTCTGACACTTGGGAGGTGTCTCGGTGGTAGGAAGACCCTTTTGATACTTGGGTTCTGTCTTGGTGGTACGGTGACCCTTCTGACACTTGGGTGGTGTCTTGGTGGTACTGTGACCCTTCTGAACCTCAGGTTGTGTCTCGGTGGTACTGTGACCCTTCTGACACTTGGGAGGTGTCTTGGTGGTAGGAAGACCCTTTTGACACTCAGGTTGTGTCTTGGTGGTACAGTGACCCTTCTGACACTTGGGTGGTGTCTTGGTGGTACAGTGACTCTTCTGATACTTGGGTGGTGTCTTGGTGGTACAGTGACCCTTCTGACACTTGGGTGGTGTCTTGGTGGTACTGTGACTCTTCTGACACTTGGGTGGTGTCTTGGTGGTACAGTGACCCTTCTGACACTTGGGTGGTGTCTTGGTGGTACAGTGACTCTTCTGACACTTGGGTGGTGTCTTGGTGGTACGGTGACCCTTCTGATACTTGGGAGATGTCTTGGTGGTATGGTGACCCTTCTGACACTTGGGTGGTGTCTTGGTGGTAGGAAGACCCTTCTGACACTTGGCTGGTGTCTTGGTGGTACAGTGACTCTTCTGATACTTGGGAGATGTCTTGGTGGTACGGTGACCCTTCTGACACTTGGGAGGTGTCTCGGTGGTACGGTGACCCTTCTGACACTTGGGTGGTGTCTTGGTGGTACAGTGACTCTTCTGATACTTGGGAGATGTCTTGGTGGTACGGTGACCCTTCTGACACTTGGGTGGTATCTTGGTGGTTTGGTGACCCTTCTGACACTTGGGTGGTGTCTTGGTGGTACGGTGACCCTTCTGACACTTGGGTGGTGTCTTGGTGGTACGGTGACCCTTCTGACACTTGGGTGGTGTCTTGGTGGTAGGAAGACCCTTTTGACACTTGGGTGGTGTCTTGGTGGTACAGTGACTCTTCCGACACTTGGGTGGTGTCTTGGTGGTACAGTGACTCTTCCGACACTTGGGTGGTGTCTTGGTGGTACGGTGACCCTTCTGACACTTGGGTGGTGTCTTGGTGGTACAGTGACTCTTCTGACACTTGGGAGGTGTCTCGGTGGTAGAGTGACTCTTCTGACACTTGGGTGGTGTCTTGGTGGTACAGTGACCCTTTTGACACTTGGGTGGTGTCTTGGTGGTACGGTGACCCTTTTGACACTTGGGTGGTGTCTTGGTGGTACAGTGACCCTTCTGACACTTGGGTGGTGTCTTGGTGGTACAGTGACTCTTTTGACACTTGGGTTGTGTTTGGTGGTACAGTGACTCTTCCGACACTTGGGAGGTGTCTCGGTGGTAGGAAGACCCTTTTGACACTTGGGTGATGTCTTGGTGGTACACTGACCCTTCTGACACTTGGGTGGTGTCTTGGTGGTACAGTGACTCTTTTGACACTTGGGTTGTGTTTGGTGGTACAGTGACTCTTCCGACACTTGGGAGGTGTCTCGGTGGTAGGAAGACCCTTTTGACACTTGGGTGATGTCTTGGTGGTACACTGACCCTTCTGATACTCCGGTGGTGTCTTGGTGGTACGGTGACCCTTCTGATACTCCGGTGGTGTCTTGGTGGTACGGTGACCCTTCTGATACTCTGGTCGTGTCTTGGTGGAACGGTGACCCTTCTGATACTCTGGTCGTGTCTTGGTGGTACGGTGACCCTTCTGATACTCCGGTGGTGTCTTGGTGGTACGGTGACCCTTCTGATACTCCGGTGGTGTCTTGGTGGTACGGTGACCCTTCTGATACTCCGGTGGTGTCTTGGTGGTACGGTGACCCTTCTGATACTCCGGTGGTGTCTTGGTGGTACGGTGACCCTTCTGATACTCCGGTGGTGTCTTGGTGGTACAGTGACTCTTCTGACACTTGGGTACTGTCTTGGTGGTACGGTGACCATTCTGACACTTGGGTACTGTTTTGGTGGTACGGTGACCCTTCTGACGCTCCGGTGGTGTCTTGGTGGTACTGTGACCCTTCTGACACTTGGGTTGTGTCTTGGTGGTACGGTGACCCTTCTGACACTCATGATGTGTCTTGGTGGTAGGGTGGCCCTTCTGACACTTGGGTTCTGACTTGGTGGTACGGTGACCCTTCTGACACTTGGGCTCTGTCTTGGTGGTAGCGTGACCCTTCTGACACTTGGGTTCTGTCTTGGTGGTACGGTGACCCTTCTGACACTTGGGTTGTGTCTTGGTGGTACGGTGACCCTTCTGACACTCATGATGTGTCTTGGTGGTAGGGTGGCCCTTCTGACACTTGGGTTCTGACTTGGTGGTACGGTGACCCTTCTGACACTTGGGCTCTGTCTTGGTGGTAGCGTGACCCTTCTGACACTTGGGTTCTGTCTTGGTGGTACGGTGACCCTTCTGACACTCATGATGTGTCTTGGTGGTACAGTGGACTTCTGAAACTTGGGTGGTGTCTTGGTCGGGTGATTGTCTGCTGTCATAAGAAGGTAACTAACTAAATGGATCGGCTGGACAGGCTGGTTGATCAGTGATCTGTCCGACTCAAATTTCAAGTGAAAGTGCTGTTCGAGTTCCTTCTGTCATATTGCTAAGAATGATACAAATATATGTCACGTGTCATTCCATGCGAAACAATTGGTTTTATGTTAAACGCTAAAATGACTGTCCGCTGCTTTTAAGTGAGTGTCAGTGTGTCGTGTGAGATGATCTGGAAATACCACAATGGCTGGCCTAATGTGACACGTGCCCATCTGCCATGACGTCCATGACGTCAATAACAAGTCTACAACAGTCACTAATTATTTATGTGCAGTTGATGCAGCGATTTACTGCACTGCTTATTAGAAGTGAAAGAAATTTTGTGTGACAAATGTTCCAAGAAGTTATTGATGACAGACTGAATAGAAGATGATACTCAGAGAACTAGACTTAATTGGTAACTTTCCCATCTGGTTTGAAAAAGCATTTGTTGTAGAATCTTTACTGTAACTTGTCAGAACAATTATGATTAATTAAGATGTGTCAGAACAATGATGATGTTTCACTAAGATGTATCAGAACAATGATGATGTTTCACTAAGATGTGTTAGAATAACAATGTTTCACTAAGATGTGTCAGAGTTACAATGATGATGTTTCACAAAGATGTGTCAGAACAATGATGATGTTTCACTAAGATGTGTCAGAACAACAATGATGATGTTTCACTAAGATGCGTCAGAACAATGATGATGTTTCACTAAGATGTGTCAGAACAACAACGATGATGTTTCACTAAGATGTGTCAGAACAACAATGATGATGTTTCACTAAGATGTGTCAGAACAACAACAATGATGATGTTTCACTAAGATGTGTCAGAACAATGATGATGTTTCACTAAGATGTGTCAGAACAACAATGATGATCTTTCACTAAGATGTGTCAGAACAACAATGATGATGTTTCACTAAGATGTGTCAGAACAACAACAATCTTTCACTAAGATGTGTCAAAACAATGATGATCTTTCACTAAGATGTATCAGAACAACAATGATGATGTTTCACTAAGATGTGTCAGAACAACAATGATGATGTTTCACTAAGATGTGTCAGAACAATGATGATGTTTCACTAAGATGTGTCAGAACAATGATGATGTTTCACTAAGATGTGTCAGAACAATGATGATCTTTCGCTAAGATGTGTCAGAACAATGATGATCTTTCGCTAAGACGTGTCAGAACAATGATGATCTTTCGCTAAGATGTGTCAGAACAATGATGATCTTTTGCTAAGATGTGTCAGAACAATGATGATCTTTCGCTAAGATGTGCCAGAACAATGATGATCTTTCGCTAAGATGTGTCAGAACAACAATGATGATCTTTTGCTAAGATGTGTCAGAACAATGATGATGTTTCACTAAGATGTGTCAGAACAACAATGATGATCTTTTGCTAAGATGTGTCAGAACAACAATGATGATCTTTCGCTAAGATGTGTCAGAACAACAATGATGATCTTTCACTAAGATGTGTCAGAACAATGATGATGTTTCACTAAGATGTGTCAGAACAATGATGATCTTTCGCTAAGATGTGTCAGAACAATGATGATCTTTTGCTAAGATGTGTCAGAACAATGATGATCTTTCACTAAGATGTGTCAGAACAATGATGATCTTTCGCTAAGATGTGTCAGAACAATGATGATCTTTCGCTAAGATGTGTCAGAACAATGATGATCTTTCGCTAAGATGTGTCAGAACAACGATGATGATCTTTCGCTAAGATGTGTCAGAACAAAGATGATCTTTTGCTAAGATGTGTCAGAACAATGATGATGCATGTGTTTGAGACGGGCGCCTACCATGGGGCAGGGTACGTCCATCTTTGTGCACACGCCTGGTGTCATCCCTATCTGGTGGTGATTCAAAGACACATGCCCAGGATATGCCTGAGTTCTACAATCTGCTTTTGGCAGAGATTTCCTATGAGTATGAGAGGGTTTTGTTGCTTTTATTTGACTGACATGTTCCAAAACAGATGTCAGTGAAATACCATATGAGAGCTGCATGTTGGGCACTGTGCCATCTTAAACTCAATGTTTGTTTCAAAAACAACCAGGTTTTACAGGGTCTGCACATCTTGACGTAACTGCAGCATGGTGCATCGCTTCTCGTCAAGTCACACAGCGCTTGAAGTATTTCCTCTCATTTTCACCTCTGTCCAACATCAGGCTTTCTTCTCATTTCCACCTCTGTCCAACATCAGGCTTTGAAACTTCTCCTGGTTGTGTTAATTAAATCTCAAACTTTTGAGTTTTGCTTAATTTCTTTTGAAATTTGTTGATTCATTTAAGTAACTTATTCCCAATGATGATGTGGGCTGTTGTATTTTCTTGCTGCTCATGGAATATTGTCTCTCTAGACTTTCATGATAACCTAACTGGGACATAGGATCTACTGATAGTAAAATCATCATGAAAGCTCTGAGATTATCTCGGTTGCTTTCTCAACCCTTCCCAAAATACATATGTAAGTTAAATTCATGTAAATCTTACTTCCCCCGGGGAACCAATGGAGATTCTGAGTTAGAATAGGTCCCCTTCAAGTTTGTTGTACAAGGTGACTTAATAGATCACAAAGCGATCTTAGCGCTACGACTATTGTAAGCCTATGTTAAAGTATGGGAGTTACGATCATCTTAGCGCTACGACTATTGTAAGCCTATGTTAAAGTATGGGAGTTACGATCATCTTAACACTAAGACTATAGTAAGCCTATGTTAAAGTATGGGAGTTACGATCATCTTAGCGCTAAGATTATTGTAAGCCTATGTTAAAGTATGGGAGTTACGATCATCTTAGCGCTGAGACTATTGTAAGCCTATGTTAAAGTATGGGAGTTACGATCATCTTACCGCTAAGATCGCTTCGTGCAAGTGGGCCCAGGTGGTCAGGCTGAGTTCATTATCAATCACTGGATTGTATGGTCCAGACTCGATTATTTACAGGCTGCTGTCATGTCGTCGGAATATTGCTAAGAGCAGCATTAAACAACAAACAAACAAGCAAAAGACTTCCAAGACACGTCACCCCAGGCTACAGTAAATTGATTATTTATTGCGAATTACTTACACCAGTGGAGGGTTGTTTTACACTACAGTCAAGAATATTCCAGCATTTCGCTATCGGATTACTTTCCACATTAAGCTAATGATAATTAAAAGGAAACACTATAGAAGCAGGATCAAATTCAACTCACTAGGTATCAAAGGTACCTACCAAAATAATATCTAAAATGATATAAAAGAAGAAAATTCTTGAAAATAATAATTTTGTTACAAAAATGCTTGTTTATACAGTCCTCTGATGTGTTCTTGTTTTAAATTGACTGTCTATTTCTAGTCTAAACTGAGATCGTATCTAGCACAATTAGCTCTAGATGTGAAACTGAGATCGTAGCTAGCACAATTGGCTCTAGATGTGAAACTGAGATCGTATCTAGCACAGTTAGCTCTAGTTGTGAAACTGAGATCGTATCTAGCACAATTAGCTCTAGATGTGAAACTGAGATCGTATCTAGCACAATTAGCTCTAGATGTGAAGCTGAGATCGTATCTAGCACAATTAGCTCTAGATGTGAAACTGAGATCGTATCTAGCACAATTAGCTCTAGATGTGAAACTGAGATTGTATCTAGCACTATTAGCTCTAGATGTGAAACTGAAATTGTATCTAGCACAATTAGCTCTAGATGTGAAACTGAGATCGTATCTAGCACTATTAGCTCTAGATGTGAAACTGAGATTGTATCTAGCACTATTAGCTCTAGATGTGAAACTGAGATTGTATCTAGCACTATTAGCTCTAGATGTGAAACTGAGATTGTATCTAGCACTATTAGCTCTAGATGTGAAACTGAGATCGTATCTAGCACAATTAGCTCTAGATGTGAAACTGAGATTGTATCTAGCACAATTAGCTCTAGATGTGAAACTGAGATTGTAGCTAGCACAATTAGCTCTAGATGTGAAACTGAGATCATATCTAGCACAATTAGCTCTAGATGTGAAACTGAGATTGTAGCTAGCACAATTAGCTCTAGATGTGAAACTGAGATCGTATCTAGCACAATTAGCTCTAGATGTGAAACTGAGATTGTATCTAGCACAATTAGCTCTAGATGTGAAACTGAGATCGTATCTAGCACAATTAGCTCTAGATGTGAAACTGAGATCGTATCTAGCACAGTTAGCTCTAGTTGTGAAACTGAGATTCTACTACTTTTCAATTACGGCACGCAGTAATTATTCTGAGATTGATCTCGAATTATAAAAAACAAGATGGTTGACGTGTAGTTTGAGTGACTTGATTAAAAAGCTATGAAAAGCCAATCTTTAATTATCTCCAACAACAACAATGATTTAATGCAAAAAAATCTGATTAACAAAAAAGAGGGGACCCAAAATTAAATCAATTCCTTATGATAGTCAACACCTGAATACAATGCATGAAGGTGGTACTGCTTGGCAACAACTAATGATGTTACATAATGAAGGAATGGCAGACCTGAGCTGGAGGAGGTTTGAGATTTAACTGATGGACAGGAGCCAGTTACTGCCAGAGATAGCTGCTGATGTAAGGTATCATCAGTTATAACCCTCCTATGGCTGTGATGCGGGGCCCATGTGTGGAGCATCACAGATGCAGAGGGTGATACGAAGCGTATTCCCCAGGACACCTAGCCCTACTCCTTTGAAATGAAATGATGGAGTATCAGTATACAACTCCCTGATACAGTATTCTTGTGGAGTTAAATATTTATATTTGTTTCTTAAGAGACTATCTTGAGATCTCTACTTTCATTACAAGCTTGAGCGTGTACGAGAAACTTTGACTTCGGGAAAGTATTATACCTGTTTTATTCAAGACCGTTCTCAGGTAAATGAATTTTTAGGATTCAAGATTTCAAGATTCTTGCTATACA